ACAGACAACAAGAGCAGAAGACGTGGTCTTCCAGAGGCCGGGCTGCAGGTCCCTGGGCAGGCGACGGGTGGAGTGGGCCCGAGACTGCCTGTGGGATCTCAGCTCAGATGCTGCTAATTTAGGCTTTTGGGATAAGTTTCTAAATTTGTAGAATTGCTCTCATGAGTCCAGGAACCTAACAGAAGCTGAAGTGGCTTGTACTTCTTCAAACCAAAGGTTTTAAAACCTCAAGAGTTGTTCAAAGCGTCTCTGACTTTTGGACACAATTTTGTCTTGGAGGCTACGGCTCTGGGGTTTAGGACACAGTGTCCCCAACGACAGTGCGTGAGAACAGTGCGATTGTTAGATGGGCCACATTAATAGCCCTGTAAAGCATGTGAAGCCTTCACTAGTGTAAAGAGAAACCCTCATTCTGTGCTTAGCAAATTTATAAGACTCACTTCAACACTGTACGTTAACAGTGATTTGGAAACTGGAGACATTAATTAAAAATAACTTCTAGGGTGTTGAAGAACCTCTTTGCTTTGTCAGTCACACCCATTTCTGTCTGGGGGGGTGGTCACTGAGTCTTTTTTTGTACCGGAAATCGAAGTCAGGACCGTGCACTTGCCAGGCAAGCACTGCGCCACTGAGCGACATCCCCGGGGTCACTGGGTCTTTGCTGCTTGCAACTGGGAGTCTCGCTGTGCAGTACACAGTCACTGAAGGCAGCGTTTTCATATTGAATGTTACACACCCAGGACTTGGCCATCAGCACAGATGAACCCGCAGGTTCTGCGAGAGTCCCTCAATAGACTATACAGCAGATCTCAGCCCTTTCATGGTCTGGTGCCTTGGCCCATAGTAGCCTGTGCCCATCTCTCATGGAAGGAAGGCTGTGTGTATGCAGCAGTTTATTGATTGCTATACCCAAAGTGCCTGGCTAGAGTGGAGCTACATTAATTGTTCAGTAAACAGTTACTTCCACTGTCTGGAAGGCAGAGGCCCAAAATCTTACTGAATACTCATGGGTGAGCCCTCCTTCACACACCAGGCCGAGGCTTGGAAGGGACTGCAATTGGGGCTGCTCCCTTTTTCCTTCCGTTTCACTCTTCATGTGAGTCAGTTTCTTTGAATCTTGGCTCACTTGGCAGAGCCAGGCCAGTTCCACTCCCAAGTCTGTTCCCTGTCCAGTCCCCAGCAGCACCCGACAGGAAGTCATTCAGTGGTCCTGGCTGTCCGCTATTGTGGGGGAAGAAGCAGGCCAGGACTCCGGGGGGCCCTTCCTACAGAAGCAGCACTTCTAGGGAGCACCGGAAGGCTTTCACAAGTGCCCATAACCTGGCTCACAGGACTTTGAAAATAAGAAACACTTCACACAAACCTTCAGCACATAAATGATTTATTACAGAATCTACTGATTGTAGTTCTTCACGGTGGCTGCCCAGTATCTTTGCTCCCATGTGATCCTCATTTTCTTTGGGTAGTTATTTCTTCCTCTACTGGCTGGGAATCCCGGCCTCTCAACACAGAAACCAGAGCCCTTGGAGGCTCCTTTCAACAGCCAGGGCCAGGCCAGGGACCTAGGCCTACAGGACTAGCTGCTCTCACCTGCAAAATGGCATCTGGAGAGGCAGCTTAAGGAAAGGAATGGCTCCTGACACCGCAAACAGGCTATCCCCATGACGCACGTTTCCTAACCCACAGAACTTAAACTCAAATGTTTTGAAAGGTCTGATGCTGCTTATCACATTGTGTATTTTTTACTCTTTGGAGTATAACATGCAAAACACCCATATCACCTTTTTTTTAACCAGCAAGAAGCAGCCCGGAACACCAGATACTTTTGATTCTGGAGTACCCACACTAAACAGCCCCTTGAAAAGCCGTATCTGTGTTGAGGCTACCTTGCATTTCCCCCATTTCAGTAAGACAAATTAGTAGAGCACTACAGAATCAGCCGTTTATAATAAATCAATTACAGCTGGCAAGTGAATGGCAGACAAATTTGTTTAGTGCAAAGCTGTTATTTCATACTGTGGTCCTCAGCCCAGGTCTTCCTAAAGCCAACATGAAGTCCAGGACATAAGGTCTAAGCTGAAGGCAGAACTGGCTATTTCATCTATTTACAGATGAAGACCCACCACCTTCTCCAGGAAGATGGGACTGTCTGGAGATACCCAGGATCATTCTCCCTGGCACTGTGCAACGCAGCACAGTCACCTGTAAGACCTGGCTAGTGGTCCTAGGAACATTAGCCAAGAGGTCAGGACTCTTAAACAAATGAGGCGACAAGATAGGGCCTTCGAGTTTATAAAGTATTTCTCAATCCACAACCACTGCTGGGTTACTCAGCTTCTCTAGTCTCTCTTAACCTATAAAATGTGAGCACTGAAATAGAAAGGCTAGTCTCCATAAAGTGCCTTGAAAAGATGTAACTCATCAACGGAACTATTCTACGGCAACAGCAGGTCCATTCTTAACCCTCCTGATAGCAGTGGGGGAAAAACTTTGTGGGATCTCCGAAGGGCAACTCTGGACCACGAGTCCCCATCTGAAATCCCGACTGTAATATATAACTCTGAGCAAGTTCCCCAAATGTCCTGATCCAGTTTCTTCTCTAAAATAGGCTTATGAGCCCACAGGGTTGTCAAAGCCATGAAGCCATGTACCAGTGATCAAACTGACTTCAATCTTTTTTAGGATTTTGGTGGTATGGGCCTGCACCGCATGCATGCTACGTAAACATTCTATCACTGAGCTACAGCTCCTTGTCCCTCAGTCCAGGTTCGTTCCTCAGTCAGGCCTTAAAATGCAGGGAACATAAAAATCACTGAATACACATGCACTTCAACTAAACTTTATCTGAAAGATTTCAGGGTCAGCTCAGTGTGACTGCATCTGGACACAGGCCCTTTGAAGTGAATGTTAAATGAATTCCTAACGGTGGGGTTATCTATTAGCTAGAGCTCCCTCATCAGACCCAACTGTGCTGGCATCTCATCTTAAATTTTCAACCTCCAGAAATGCGAAAAAATCATTTTTTGTTTTTGCCACTCAGCCAATGGGTTGTTTGTTTTTGTTTTTTTAAGGCAGCTGAGTTGGACTAATATAAGCCCTTAGTGGAAATTTTCAGGAAACGGCTACACCCTAATTGAACTCAGAGCCTGGAACGTCACTGGACACTTAAACATTCCTAGTTGTGTCTTTTCCAGTTCTAACCTTCCGGCATGCTAGGAGCGAAAACAAAAACTGCAGCAAGGGGCGTTCACGATTGCAGGTTAACAGCTGCGTATCCACCGGGCTCCTTCCCCAGCACCACATAGCCGCACCTTCGCCATCCATCAGCGGCCAGCATACTCCCAGCTTTAACTCTTGGCAGTGCTCTCTCGGGACAAGCCCGGAAGTCCAACAACAGTAATTATCAAACAGTGTCAAAGACAATTACTTTTTCTCCAAAACTTCATTCTGCCATTCAGTAACTGAACAGCACACTGAGAACTTAGTTGTGGAAGTCTCAGGAGCAGGAGAAACCAGAATCTGGGTTTTGCGCTCTAAGGTGAGGAAGCACGAAGAGAGCAGCCTTCCAGGGACGAGTTCTGAGGAAAAAAGACACACCGCCCAAGCTCAGGCGGCCGCTGGAGGAATGACCGAGTCACATCCTTCTCTTACCTGACTGGCTGGGGGGAGGAACTGCTGGATTGAGTTTAGGACTTCGGTAAATACTAGCAGCCAACACTCTACCCAGCGCCAGCAGAAACGGTTTTGAAGGATTAAGAGATGACCGACCTGTAGGTTCATCTGTACTAATGTGCAGGCTGGTGGTGAAAAGCAAGGACTACACGCACTGCGCCAGGAAAAACTACATGATGCCCCTCTACCTCACTTACCTTTATAACATGCTCACGGACCTCGTACTTTAAAGTGTCATCTCCCCAAAACATTCTCCAAATTCCAAGTTATACAACGTTTCTTGCCATTAAAATGTTTCCATATTAATATTTACCTGCACTTTGTATAAATCAACGTTAGTCACGACTTCTACGTACATGAAAGCGACAGCTTTAAATTCTTTATTGAATACCTACATGCCAGGCGCAGACGATCTTATCTTTAACCCAAGAACCAAGGGTGAGATGTCCAGCTGTACAGGTCTTGACAGGGTTAGGGCCTGAGGGCTCTGCACGGCCTGATGCTTTACGCTCTCACCCCAGGTTAAGGCGAGTCAGAACTGCCTGGTTTGTACTTTATATAACCAATTCCTCTATTGGGAGAAGCTTCCTTCCGAGATCACTCCTTTACTAGATTTAGAAAGTGATCGTGTACTATTAGAGAAAAGAGTATAAGCTTATTTGAAATTAGAAATACCAACTTTGAGCTTCAGAGGCCTCATAATCCAAATTTCAACTAAACTCTTCAACAGCAACATGCTTTGAACACAAATCTTCATTTTACTTATATTCATTCTGTGTGAGGGCAGCTAAGCACTACACTTTCTATGCTTTAAAAAGTATATACTTTCCTCCTTTAAATTTCTGCCTTGATATTAAACAAAAAATAGTGCATCCCCAATTCTTGGGAGCACCCCACACACACCGGGAAAGGCAGAAACCAGTATGTGTTCTTTGCGAGACTGGACACCACCACACCCGTGCATTAGAAAACCGAGTGATTACTACATCATACTTCCCAATTTTGTTGAGATCAGCTTTAAAAGATCCTGCTTGGGAAATGCCTTTTGCGTGACAAAGCCCATTTCACCACAGAAATTGCCTGTGCTTAAAGTACTAGCTAAAACATTGAAAGGGAAATTAATTTAGTACAATTACTAATTAGTAATTAATTTTACTAATTTAGTGCAATTACAATTACTAATTAATCAACTAATTAATCACTTGGATGTGATGTAGAGGGCAAGGGAAATACACAAACTGTAGTACAGAGCTCAAGTTTATCTTTATGAAGTATTCTGAAATCAAAGATGGTAATACATGCATCAGGCACATTCAACAGAAGACTTCTACAATGGTTTACATTTCTTTTTTATTTATTCCTTGAAACTGCCCGTATTGCAGGTTTTTCATGGGTGAAATATGGAACTGAGCAGATTCTTTTTTTCTACAAAATTATGGTATAAACTTGCTTGATTTTCTATCTTATTGCTAATAAACCTTACAGGCGCACAGTTTGTAAAATAAACCCCTTAAGGACTGAATGTGTAGAGCATGCTGCAAGGTACGAGAAACAACTAAAAATGAGAATATAAAACTACATCTGGACCAACACAGTACTGAATGCTGGCAAACATTTATCACGACACAGGGAAAAATTAATGAAAGGCGATACAGTTCAGTCCTGAAAGGGTTAAACAGAAACCCTAATATATTATTGTTTCTAACCATCCATCCCACAGTACAGTGCTTGAAAACAAGGTCAAAAGTCTGGCACAGAAAATTACACACATTTGTTCAGTACTCATCAGAAACACAGCTGCTTTTGAAATCAAAGTAAGTTAACTTGGTTAATCATTGAACGGCGTTTTGTTTCAAAAGGGAACTCCTCCCCCTCAGATTTCCTGGTTAACCTGACTAGTTGGGTTAGTTCTCAAAGATGGCATTGAACTTTCTGTGAGCTCACAGATGGTACCGGTTTCACTAAAAACAAAGGCAAAAGAGCTTAACAGTTACGATGCCAAGTGAGTCTGTGTAGTAAGAGGCGACACACACTTCACTAGTTAAAATACTTCACTAGTTAATTCTAGATGAGGACACCTTTAGTTGCCACAGTTTAAGAAAGTCATCTGCGAGTTGAATACTGTACGAGTGTTCAACTCTGCACTCATTCAAACTATAAAGGGCGTTCTATGTTGTTGGCATCTTTAGCTTGCTTTTTTCCCAACCCCTGTGACAAGTGCAGTGAGACTGGTAGAAAGTGTTGGGTCACACGTTTTGGTTGTATGCCTGTTTTGAGAAACTGTACAGAATCATGACAGAATAAGAAATGCTTCCAAAACACATTTTTTAAAAAAATCAAAGATACTGTAGGTAATCATTCTCCATTCCAGAGAATGTTCCTAAGGGTGAATGACTGACACCTGTAATAATGTCATCACGGGGGAGGAACATAACTCTACTGTAAGAGGAGGGCAAGACTCTCCCAAGTTATACAACGAAGCATAAAATGACTCACAAATCCATGAAGATTTTTTTTGAAGCAGCGGACAAAGTAACTACTGATGAACAGTGAGCTATAACAGATACCATTTCACTCTTCGGTCTGTGGTATGAGAATGGCATAAAATAGTTGGAGAAAATGCCTATATTGGTACATTCTGGATTTTCCAAAAAAGAAAACAGGAAAAAAGGTTTACAGTCCAATATTTCAATTATCTTATTAGAAAAAAAAAAAAGAACCAAAAGAAGATACAAACATTGAAAAGAACCAAAGTTCGTTTTAATAAAGCCATGAACCTGAAAATTTATTTTGACCTAAAAGCTGAGTAAGGAATAGTTTATTCTTCAAAAAGCATCCCATTTGTTACTGGTTAATTTAATATGATTTAACTGAATACCAAATCAAGAAATATAGGAAACTTGTGGCCCATTAAAAAAAAAAAATCAAGCAGCACTGACAACACCTTTACATTAAACAAAAGCACTGTGTAACGACTACTTCCGTGACTCAACAGAGAGAATAAATACTACTCAAATAAGCAAGTCTGCCAGTAACAGCCAGTGAGCAGTTACAACAAAGAAAGATAAGGCCACAATGCATTCTGCCCTGATCACTGAAACAGATTTAAGGTGTGAGGCAGGATTTGATTCCCCAAAGGAGTCACTGGAGCAGATTTGAAGAGAAAAGGCTATTTATAGTACAATGTATCCTGAGGTGATTAAAAAGGCTCGCAGTAAGAGAAAACTGCGGTAACTTTGCTTTAACCACCTCACGTGTTTTACAAATGACTTTCCCCTTGAAAACTGAGGAAGAGGCAATTTAAAGATGTGAGGAAAAGTATTTACAGTGGCATAGTTTAAACAAAGGAGTGATGAAGACAGCAAAGCTGAAAAAAAAAATGCCCCTAATAACTGATTTTTAAAGTCTATTAAAGGAAACTCAAAAGAGCCCAGGACACCAGCAAGACACTGGGAACACTGGAGAACTTACAGTTTTGCATCCATAAGGTACTTGTGGCTCCTGTTTTATGGGACAGTAAAAGCTTACCACAATCTAGAGGTAGTTTTTACTCTAAGAAGGATGATTGTGTCCCTAGGCTGTGTCCTATAACGTTACACACAGTTACGGTACTAATGTTGCTCAGTGAGTCTAGTGTAGTTTTAAGAAACTGAACAAAGGTGTAATAATCAAAGTGTGGGAATGGAAGCAAAACTGGCAAAATCGCCACGCAGGGCTGTACCCAGCCCTGAATGAGAACAAACTTTAACTGAAAGGCAAAGACACATCTTCTAAGTAGGAGACACTGGTGGAGACACTTAGTACTGGGGAAGAGAGAATACAAAGGCAGAAGAAAATTGGAAATATAAGTTACATTTGCATTTTTATAAACTTCCAACCATCTGTTCCTAAGGTACTGTCTTCCAGCTATTCTAGCTGACCATCTAATAGAAGCATCTTATGTTTTAAGATTACAATGATGTTCTGGCCTAGGCAAAAAAAAGAAAAAAAAAGTAACAATAATACAACATATTTTACTGAGATTTTCCTCATTCTACCAGAAGGGCACCATCTACCATGTGGTAGCAAAAATTTCGCATGATTTTTTTTTTTTAATCATTTGCCAACAATGCAAAAAAAACAGGTTGTTGAAAAAAATCGCTGGGAGAATTCCAAGTTCCAAAAAAAAAAAGTTTAACTTACACATAATACAAGTTATGTACAACATCAGGAGGAGGGGAAAATTGAACTAACCCTGGAACACACAGATGAATTATGTGTGGGAAGGGGAGAGGACACTTCAAATATCAACATATTCTGTGCCGTTAACTCATTACTGACTACACGGCCACAATGAATTCCACGTGAATGTCAGAGCTTCTTGGATTACCACTATAAATACATTTAAACAAAAAAAAAAAAAAAAAAGGAAAACACAAATAACTGCCAACAGTGACTAAAGAAGGAGACTAAGTTAACATACATTGCATGTATTGCAGGCAAGGCAGAGGCATTGTCTTTAAAGCTTTTGCACAGACTTCATATAATCTTAAAAAAACGTATACAGGCCTTTACAAGATTTGACTTGCTGAAATCAGAACAGTTTTAACTCATGAAAAGTCATAAGACTTCAGTTTGAAAAAAAAGTTCCAGCCTTAGACCAAAAGAACCTGGGTGGGTGTGGTAATGTATTCAACAAGCATGGTCAAGCTTGGAACCTGAATGTATTTCAGAGCAAAAGCTCAAAGAGGGTGGGGAGAACAACCTATTTGGTAACAAGATGTACTATATACTGTGATATAAAAAAAGGTCTGGTGAACATGTACCTTTTACTAATAAAGCTTATACAAGTGCCTTGGTCCATAAAAACTAGGTTAGATTTGTGTCTTCTAGTTTGCTTAGCTTTTATACCAGCCACGTATCCATTTCTCGCCCATTTTAACAAAACCAAACAAAAGCCAACCAAACAACAACAAAAAAACAGCCGAAAAACTCAATCTCCAATAATTTGTACATTTTGATTTTTTGTTTGTTTGTTTTACTGTGGCTTCTGCATCTCAAACCAGCACTCGCAGGCAATGGGGTTTTCGAACAGTATCACTTGGTATGAAAAGTTTTCCCAAGAAACCACAAAAGATTGTTCATTTTTTTTCCTTTCCTTTTTGACAACTTTTTGCTGCACTCAGGTCAGTTTAAGTCCTAGCAAAAAGACGGTGGTTAGGACACCACAGTTGCTGTAGATGATGTGACGCTGGTTGAATTTGTGCTGGCGTTTGTGTAACTTCCTTCGCTGTTTGTGTTTGATTCACTGGAGGGCACTTGGCTTGAATTGGCTCGAAGGATTGCTCCCGCTGCACTGCAGTGTGGCCTTGGCCCTGGTTCTGGTGTGTAGGTAAAGGTAAGGCTGGTGGAATAAATGATTCCATCATTTCGGACCAAAGTTACTGGAACCTGGACTGGCTGCCGGACCCATCTCCAACCTTCTCGGAATGCAGAAATGTCTGGGACGACACAAAGCATGCTCTCTCCACATCTGAGGGGAAACATAAATCATTTCAAAAAGTACTTTAAAATGTGAAGTATATTCCAGAAATGCGACCACACTGTCTAATGCAGGACAGTGAAGATCAGAAGACAATCTCACATCCCCATAAGCCCCTCACAAGCCTTGGGTGATGTAAAAAGTTTTATTTGATACCTGTACATAGTTTCAGCTTCTACATCCCCAAACCATACTCGTAAATTTGGAGTGAAATTCTGTCCTGTAAGTTCAAGCATTGCTACATCCCCGCCGCCATTCAACTGCAATTAACAGAAAATCACATTGAGACACTTTTCATGGAAGTACAAAAATTAGGTTCTCATTCAATTTCCATTTGTGACAGCTTGTAAAAGTTTGCATTTGTAAATGTTTCTTTCAAATGCATAATTATAAAGCCAGCTAAAAATATTTCAGATAACATACAAGTTTATTTAATTTTCTCACATGTAAGGAAAATTGCTTATTCTCATTTTTGTCAACAAATAATGTGTAACAAAATCCCTAGGTCACTACATTTGAAGAAAAACATCAAAATTACTGTGAAATGAAATTACGCCAAGTCATAGCTGAGCACATTTGCAAAGCAAAAGCCACCCTGTGGTTGCGTGGTCTCACCTGAAGACTTTCCACAACAGGCACAGGGGTGACGGGGGCCAGGACAGGGCCCATTCCTTCATAAAATGTATACTCCGCTTTATCTGTGCTAATGATTGTCCATGAAGCTCCATCATTTATCATCTCTTTATTTGGTTCTTTTGGACAAGGAGTGGCCTTACAAAGAAAAAATGTTCAGAAAGTGAGTTTTATACACATTACAGAAAAGAACTTACCAAATAACACACAGAGTTAAGAATAAAAAACTTTTGTAAAAAACTTTTAAACTTCTTAAAACGTGCTGCTTTGCCAATCTCTACATGTGAGCAGAATAATAATATCAAAATCCCACAGATGGCAGTTTTTGTTATAAAGTATTTCAGTGATATAGTAAATAACTAATAACCATTAACATCATACCCTTACTGGTATCATTTCATTAGTATAAGATCAGTACCTGAAACTTACAATGGATGTTTAAAATTCTTTAGGGCTGCCTAAGACAGATCCCAGGAGCACTGAATATTTAGAGAACAGCTAGATGCTAATCCACTTTGCACGGGAGGGAGCGATGATCTGGACCTGCACGCTCCTGCTCCTATTGTAACAAACCTGCACCAGGGACCAGGCCCATCTGTATCGCGTGACACCATCTCTCAGGAATGGGAGTCTACAATGGAGTCTTCTATAAAAGTGCAACTATCCTATCAAATCGTATCACCATGTCATCAATGTGAAAGCCTTCTAAATAAACACAGTTAAAATTCTGCTTCTGAATCATACCGTTATTATCTCAGGAAACCCAATTTGGTAAGTATATGAACTCTCTCTCAATAAAATAAAATTTTTCAATAGAGTGCATGCATCTAAATTCAGAAGATTCAATGAACATCTAGTTTTAGATATTTTGGGGAGTCTTTGTTCCCCAAATTAGGAACCCTGACAGTGAATGTTAACTGTTTCTCTGAGAACATTCTCGTAGTTTTGAGTTCTTCCCTGAGGTAGGATCACTAACACATCCAAGGAGCTGCTAATAAGAAGTTCATGTTTTCATAATTCACTTTTTAGTATTCACTCACTCACTCACTCACTCACTCAATTCACTCACAGTGCTGGAGAATGACTCCAGGGCCTTGTAACCTCTATGCTACACACAAGCCTTAGTTTGTATACATTTTACCAGTAAGTGTAAAACCTACCTGAAATTGGATTATTCTCTCTTGAGAAAGGCACAAGTACATTCTTTCTGTATCCTTAAGGTAAAATGCACATTTATGTAGTTGTGACACAGGATCGTCTGCATCCAATAATGCTGTCTGCTTATCAACTTTCCTTATTATCTGTATTTCAACAATTCAGAAATTAAAACAAAATGGTCATCCACATAAGTTTTCATTTTGTACACTGTCAAAAGCACACAGAAAGTATATGCTATATAATATACCAGTTATTTGTCTTATACCTAAGTAGAGATATTTACAAAATAAAAACGTAGTTTGTAAGTGTATCAAAATGTGACATTTGTCACCCTCTTCCATGAACTTCTTTTTAAAAAAAGGACTTGCTTTCTAAACCAGCATTTTTCAAACATTAGTGTACATATTAATCACCTGGAGTTCTTGTTGAAGATACAGGTGCTGATTGGACAGGCTTGGCAAGCCTAAAGTTCTACGTTTCTAGCAAATCCTCAGGTAATGTTAATGCTGCTGGTCTATGGACCATATTTTGAACAGCAAGTTCTGATAACCCTTCTGATAATACACATATATTCCAGTGACAAAGGAGAAAAAAATGTCTTGAAGGCTGAGGTTGCACTAGTCACAGTAGATATTTTACACAAATTGTTTAATTATCTACCCATTTAAAAACAAGAATAAATTAGTTTTGCAGATCAAGAAATGGGCTCAGAGTGGCAAATGGAATTGCTCAAAATCCCCAAGTTACAGCAAAGAACCAAAATACAACCCTAAAGCTGGCTGCCTGCCCAGCCTGACCTCTTCCCATTACACTCCACAATCTCATAAGCCAAAGAATCCACAGAACACATGGATATCTGAAAGACAGTTACAGTAAACCTTAAATGACACAGCACAGATTGAAGTAATCGCTAAACATACGATGAGAAGGGCAAGATTTGATACAGCAAAACTACTTTGGCTCTGATTTCCCCTGTTGATGGCTCACTCCCATTAAGCATGAAAACATCTAACTATTTCTCATCTGAAAATCAAGGTAAAGAAAGCCCTCCTCATGCCCCTGTCCTTTCCTCTCACTAATCTTGGTTCTTTGGTCCCCTTGAGAGCATGGGCCTCTTCCTTACTGTCCCATCTTCTGTGGTCTCTCCAGCCTCTGCTTTAAGGACTTATTAAACTGAACACAAGGTACCAAGGACTTCCAGACATGTGAATAACACATGGCATTTCTCTGTCCCCATCTTTCTTTACTTTCTCAGCAGTATTTGACAAAGACATTCTCCCCTGGGGACCCCCCTGCCTGAACTGTGCGCCAGGCTACACAGAAGATGCTTGAGACTAATGCACAAATCCTACCGCAGCCCAACCTACATGCCAATGTAATGCTCTGCTCCATCACCTGTAACTGTGACTCCTCATGGGGCTGTGTAAGCATCAAACGAATCTATGCATATAAAAGTGCTCACAACAGTGTCACTGATGCTACATCATACTACTAGCTTTCTTTACTTCATTTATGTCTCCCTTATACTCTGAGGTCATCTGGTTTTACCTTTAGCCAAAACTGTTTAAAGCCCCAATCTTTAAAGTAAATATGGTTATTATTTATACATTTTTCAGTCTACCAAAGTTTGTTTAGTTAGAATATTTGTAATCCTACTAATAGCAGTTTTTAAGTTAAAAGAGAGACCTTAATTTTAGCAATTAAGATAGCCTGTGAGACTAATTAAACTGAAACAAAACACTCAGTACTAAAGCCTTAAAATTATATTTAAATTCAGTAAGGTTTGGCTTTTAGAGAAATTAACTTTTTTTTTTTTTTTTTTCAGTGACCTGAGTCCAAAGCTTCTCATCTCTCAGGAGCACCCACTCACACCTCCCGGCTGTGTGCCTCTAGAGCTGCTATCTGTGCGCCCCCGTTTCCTCACCAACTAGCTACATACGCCCCATTGAGTTGGTTTTTTTGGCCCCTCCAACCAACAGTTCTTTGCATACAGACACTAATGAATAACTTGCTCTCACCAATAAAGAATCACAGATGTCCAAAGATAGCATCAAAAATTTGCTTTGTTAATGTCTAGTTTTATAAATATATGGTGTATAGATCATATTTTAGAGGTTAAGGGGATACAGTCCCTAAGGACAGATAGGAAATATTTCATTCATATTCTGAACACTGTACCTGTCAAGCAAATACTGACTGAGTTTAACTTATTGGGTCATTCAACCAAATAGGTTGACAGACATCCTACACCATACAATGGACAGCAGTTATTAGTGTAATTTCATTGCACTGATGGTGCCTTAGTAGTACAGCTGTAACAGTGACGAACATAGCTGTTCCCACCCGTGGAGCATCTGACAGCCTTGATGAGTATGTGTCTAAGTGAATAAGGCGTTTCTTGTTAGTTGGTGAGGTTTACATAAACTGTTTTGAGAGCACCCATAAAAACAGGATTTTCACTAAGATACTTAATTGATCTCAGTGAAATTTGGTCAGGGAGGGATAATATTTTCCAAGCACATCTCTCCAATAAAACATATTCTAGTGAGCATTAAAAGCAATTTTCAGATAAGGTAGGATTATCTTTATATGAGAGCTAGGTGGGTATGGCAGTGCATGCCTATAAATCCCAGCTCTTAGAAGCCTGAGGCAGGAAGACTGCAAGTTCAAGGCCAGCCTGGATTATATTAACAAGACACTGCCTTTAAAAAAAAAAAGCAGATGAAAGAATGCTGCAGTTCTTAGAAACTGCATGTAAGCAGAGGCCAAGAGGTGCAGGAAGTGGTACAGTTAGCTAAAGGCCATCTAGGATTTCAAGGAAACTAGTTATAATGAATTCATCAGTCATGGAATTTCTAGAAAAACATTTACTAGAATATTAACGAAGGTACCACAACTTTCTAATAGTCTAATTTTTTACTGTAAATTATTATAATCAGAACCACACACATAGTTCAAGCAAGGCAGACCACTTGTCCTTTGCATAAAACTTTAAGTGAAAATAGTATTCTGAGACTGGGGCTGCCTTCTAAGTGGTCTACTTCAAGCTGTTGTGGATCAGAGGCAAAAACATCTGAATGTGCGTTTCTGTAGAACAAGAAAAACAAACACATGTCCTTGGAATGTGGTGACACAGCGTTGAGTTAGAAGAGAACCAAGTACATGTTAAATTTGCTTCTTGTTACTTTTTATACCCATCCTTCCCTATACCTCTGCACTTTTTACAATTTGTTCCAGCTTCCCAGTTTTACAGATTAACTCTACTATACTTGAAATATTTTAGCTTATTACACTGAAATGGATATAAATCTTCTTGTGCAACCATGACATGGAAAAGTAAAACAACCAAAAAATAAAAAACAATTCACATATTTACTTAAGACAACTATAGACCAACCCTGCCTCTGCTGAAATAGCCCCTGAAAATATAAGACAATACAGCGTTTCACCAGAGAGAAACACAGCTTCCTAAGGAGCAGTGCTGCTAGATGTTCTTCCACTTGCCCAACACCCTCACCTGACCTGGAATCAAATGTGCTCATAGATACTGGCCACCTGTACTATTCAACCAAGTTAAACTGCTTCAGAGAAGGAAGACAGCTATGAGGATTTTTGTTTGCATTTTACTAAGAAAAGCATTTTTACAGGCTCAAGATCTAGTTAACAAAATGTCCTAAATCGTATGTCTTTCTCCCAAAATTAAAAAAAGAAAAAAAAAAAAATCAAGTGATTGATTGGTTTGAGACAGAGTGTTGCTATGCAGTCCAGGCCAGCTTTGAACTCACTATGTAACCCAGAATGGCTTCCAATTTGTGGCAATCCACCTGCCTCAGCCTCCTGATGGCTGTGATTACAGGAGTGAGCCACAATGCCTGGCTTAGTTTTAATACATATATATTTTTGTGCATGATCTGATCTGGTTAAAAAAAAACTATGCTTATATTTCAAAAGGAATATGAATTTTTATGCTTTTGAAAATTTGGTCCTAGGGGCTGGGGATTTAGCTCAGCGGCAAAAGCGCCTGCCTGGCAAGCGCAAGGTCGTGAGTTCGGTTCCCGGTACCAGATAAAAACCAAAAAAAAAAAAGAAAATTTGGTCCTATAATAGTATACAGTAGGTAGCACAAAAAACAACAGCATATCTGCACTAGTAAGGGAAAAAGTCATACTGTAATTTATAGTGCCCTCTGCTGAACGCGTTCACAACCAAAAGGAAACTGTCAGCAAAATTTGTTAGAAAGACTACAACAGGGAGTCATCATGAATGCACTTGCAAAAATAGGCTCACTGTCGTAAGGCAGCTTTGAAATTAGGTAGGGTACAATTATTAATTGTAGTAGAGATTACAGATATTATCCTTTAAGTTAAAAAGCATAAAATCGAGGTACATTTTTGGCTGAATGCTATGATTCTTCTGTTTTAAGAACTGCTACTTCACCTATCACTTAAGCAGAAGTGGCGCCTTACCAATCTCGGGAGTGCCATGCCAGTCACTGAACACACAAGCTTGACTGTTTGTCCATAATGGATGTAACCATCTCGGACTGTGAATTCTTCTCCTTCTGATTCATCATCATCCACTATATTGGATAGAAAAAGAGACCAAAATATCATCTTTTAGAATTTATTATCTGCCTAGGAAAATGATAAAAACATATCCATTATCACATTATGAAAAATAACTTTTAGAATTTAACAATGCACATTTTTATACTCACAGAGATGGATGTAAAATGCTCCCCACTGCTGTGAACTGGCATGGAAATTACCTCCTTCTACATGCAAGTATCTGGTACTAACTGTCTGGGATCGAAGTCGATTAAACAAAGCCACCTTTGTTCCTGAGGCAATGCATACTGCAAAGAAAAATAGCACCTATTTATGTGACTGGAACAAGCACAGGAAAGGACTTCTGCTTGGCAAGTTATGACTGTTCCTTATTACAATCTAACAATTAAGAGATTATAGTGACAGTTTAACCTGAGAAAATAAAAAAACTTAGGTAACTCACAAAATGTCAAGCTAATGATACGTGATATGCACCTCAATTCACTGACAAGAAAATATCTCCCTGACGTATCACTAAATGGAAAAGCAAACTAGAAAACACGTCCGCTGTGGTCCCACTACAGAAATTTACTTTTGAGTAAGACTGCATGAGTGTGTCTCCACATGTCTGCACCCAATCCTACAGAATGCATGTGTAGAAAGGGGTCCAGAAGGGTGTTCTAAAGTTGATGGCAACTGTCTCTGCCTGTTGTGATTTTAGAGAGTATTGCTATCTTCTAAATACAGTGGTACCCTGGTTCACAAATTTAATCCCTTTTACGACTGTAGTTGCAAATGGAATCAAATTTCCCCACAAAGTCAACACTGCACCTAACCACTGAATTTGATATGGTTCTTGTCCAATTTGGTTTATGACCAGACTCATGAAAAGAATTAAGCATGTGAACTGAGGTACCATTCACTGTACTTCTATGTATTGTACTACATGACCATTTATAAAATAAATATTATGAGTAAATATTTACTTTAAAAGTGAAAACCACGTCTATATAAATTAGGAAAAACATCCTGAAAGTGAAATTTTTTCTCTATTATTGATACTAATATTCAATACAATGGTGAAAAAAAACCTCTGTACTGTAATTTTAATGGAAAATAGCTTGAATGCAAGACATCACATGCCTCCTGGTTTGTGAGACACTCAACCGTCCATGACTTGCCTTGCCCTTCACCAACACAAAAAGTAACAGACTTCAATCTGATCAAGATTCCAGATTAACCCCTGACAAAGATTTTCTCTTGAAAAAACACACTGCTCCAAGCATTCTTTTCCACTAGTCTTCCTCTCCGGGCCCTTTCACTGGTTTGCGCAATGCAGCTGTAACAAATCCTAAGTCATGCCCAATCCCTGACACACAACTGCCTTGCCCTCCTTTTACCAAGGCTTTTACAAAGGTAGTTTAGTAAGAATCCCCCTAACCCAAGTTTGTCTGCTTAGCAATTTTTCCATCATCTGATACCCTCATTTTGCTCTATAGCTATATACCTCACTGTATTGTACTTCAAAGTTGAACGTGGTTCTATACTAGAGACTCTTTATCATTATTATAAGAGTACTGAATGAAACCTGTCTTTTCACCTTTTAGTGTCCAGCTCTGATTTTTGGGGCAATATCAATATATTTACAGTGAATGCATTAAACTATACCAAAGGAATAAAATTAGCAAATTATATTATGTGGAAATCTATAAGGGCTACTGTCCTGAATAAATTGCAGGGGGTGGGATATAAGTTAAATGATACTCATGGATATGTCAATACTAGACAGACAGACAGATAGAAAGAAATAAATATCTGGTGACTTAAATTTTGACTCAAATTAAAAAGCTGATATTTTAGGCAATTTTAAATTTAAATATTGGTTATTTGATACCAAGAAATAGTAAAAAAAAACATGAAACCTCCATCTTTTTAAAAGCCACACAGCAGGTCTGAGATTGGCATCAGTCCACAAGGAGGGCAGAGGAAAGGCTGTGTGCTGCAGTACTCATGATGAAATGATACCAGATTGAGCTAAGATTGCTGTTACAGCTAGAGATGAACATAAGGAGTGTCATTTTATCATGTGTCTCAGTCTCTTTTCCATAATATTAAGTAATATTTTAATCTTTTCCATAATATTAAGTAAATAACATAAATAACTGAGTAGAATAAAAAACACCCACCATAAAAACTCATGAGTTCATAATGAAGCAAAATAAAAACAAAAAAGCTAATGCCTCACTGATCACTTTCAAATATTGCCATTATTCGCTTAATAAATAAGCATTTATCCTGTGTCTTCTTGTTTTGGTGCAAATAACTGATATGAGAAAGTTCTTTGCAGAAAAATTCATAGAAAAATTCTTCGTAGAAATAAATCTAGGTAGTAAATGCAGAAGTTAGAAATAAAAGATTTAGAAAATCACTGCTTTGCAACCCTTTACAACGTAACGGCTAGTATACTATTAGGTTGCCAGTTGCCAGAGGAGCATTATGGGCAGATTACACTATAATCAATCTGAACAACAACAGCAACAACAACAACAAAAAGGATACATTATTTCTGATCCAATGGAAATGACCAGCTATGCCCACAATGCTCCTCTGGCAACTGGCAACCTAATAGTATACTAGCCGTTACATCATAAAGGGTTGCAAAGTGGTGATTTTCTAAATCTTTATTCCTAACTTCTGCATTTACTACCTAGAATTGTTTCTACGAAAAATTTTTCTATGAAGAATTTTTCTACGAATTTTTTCTGCAAAGAACTTTCTCATATCAGTTATTTGCACCAAAACAAGAAGACACAGGATAAATGCTTATTTATTAAGTCATTTAAAAGTCTTTAGGTGTAACAACCAGTTAATGGAAAATATGAGAAACAGAGAACATATAACTGGCCAAATCCACAATTGGAAATTTCACGGAAAAAAAATGACTAAGTTTCTTCAAAATGTAAATAACATTGAAGGAAAAAACCCAAAAAGATAGAAAAGGGAAGAGAAGAAACTACAACAGATTAAAACTGCACTGCTGTGTTACAGTACTTTCTCCTTTTTATTTAAATTTGAAAACAGTAAGTTAAATTAAAAAAACAAAATGTGCTAAAATGTACAGTCCAAACAGACAGTATGATCTTTAGTAGTCTAGAAACATTTTGCTGATGAGACAGTAGTCTCTGCCAGATCAATCATGTTTAAAGGTTTGTTTTCGGTTCTCAGGATGGTCTTCCAAAGCCCATTTGATGTTCTGCAGAAAGAGATTTTGACATTCAGGGCGGATCAATTCTTTGTTGAATGGGAAGTAGCCTGGACACTGTAAGACATTCAGCATCACTAGCCCAAGACACCGAATGCCAACACTTCCCATACTCTCATTTTCCCAAATGTAAGGAAACAATTTTGGTTGAGAACTACTTCATTAAACCAGGTTCTACCCATTTTCAATTATAACAATCACATAAAGAAGATAATTAAGTAGGGCCACAAAATATTAGTGAGGAATCAATTTATTACTGAAAAAGCAATTTTTCAACTTTATTATTTAATTTTATTTTAAAGAGAAAAGAACAAAAACAAAGACAAAAACAAAACAACACAAAAACTATAAAAATACAAAATTGCAAAACAAGCTGATAGGAAAACAATGGTTGTTGTAGTATTTATTGTTATCTTCAAAGCAGTTGCTCAGATTACCAGATGTAGGTATGCAAGACTGATCAAACAATTAAACATTAACTGTTCCTTTCAATAAACCAATAGAAATGAGTAGTATAGCTATCTGTGTGTATGTGTGTGTGTGTGTGTGTATTTCCCTTCTCTTTCTTTCTTTTCTTCTTTCCCTCATCCCAGTTGTTCTTTCCTATTAAGCAGTTTCTTTCCCTTTCATAATATCTATCGTACCTTTCAGTTTTATTTACTCTTTCAGATTCTTACATTAGGGAGACAATAGGGTGTTTACACATGCGGGTCTGATTTATTTCACTTATGAGTATGGAACTATTGGAAAAGCAATTTTTCAACTTTAAAAAGTTTGTCTTATTAATTCATGGTGGGAGTTTAGAACAAGTAAGAAAACTCAAGTATACATACAGTCAGCATTTTTCAGTGACTGCTTCTTTTTGGAAGGTTTGGAAATGACTTTTATCCGCTTGCTGAGGAACACACCAATGTCATCACTGTTGCCATAGAACATCTTTACAGACAACATGAAATGTTTTCTCTTGTCAGAATCAGATATGTACAATGTCTTGGCTGTGCAATAGTTCTGTGAAAGAAAAACAAAGTTTTAATAGCATCCAATATTGTCAATTATGTGCCTAAACCCCAGAGTGGCCTTAACTAGGTCTGATCAAGTTTAATAAAATAATTCCAATGGATAGGCAGCTCCTCAGCCCTCGGGGAGCAGACACCACTGCGGGAAGGAAGCTGAAGCTGATGGAGACTGGAAGGCTATCACTACCTTTGTTCCATTCCTTAACTGAAAACCTTCTAAAAAAATCCAAGTCTAGCTAGTATATGAAGTGGAGAGAAGCATGAGGTCCTTAATGCTCAGAAAAGTCTGCCTTAATGCTCAGAAGAGTCTGAAAAAGAGACTTGGAAGACAAGCAGTGTCCCAGGAGCCGCACTCTGATGTGATCTGAGGACTTGTTCTTCCCTGGAAAGGTTGTAGCCAACTTTTAACATGAATCTAGATGGCAGCTGCCTTATGAAGACTCATCTGGACAAAGTACAGCAGAACAATGCAGACAGAGCACCAGGCTGAGATTTTTTTCTGGTGTCAATAATGAGCTCATGGGCAAGAATGTTAATTTTTTAACCCTTGAGTTTTAGTTGTAAACAAAAATGACTAAAGGATCATTCACATTTAAACAAGCAAACAAAAGACTATAGGAACCATTTTACTCTCTTAAAAAGGCCATATTAAAAGTCTTTTTTCTGGGTATGGTGGTGCATACCTATAACCCCAACATTCTGGAGGCTGAGAGGCAGGAGAATTGCCTTGAGTTTGAGGCTAGCCTGGGCTACTTAGTGAGCTCAAGGTCAGCCTGAACTACATAGTGAGGCCCTCTCAATCAATCAATCTGTCAATCAATCCATCCATCCATTAGTCAATCAGTCAATCACAAACCAAACCAAAACAGTCTTTTTCCCCCCAGCACTCTCAGAGGCTTAAGCAAAAGGATTGTGAAGTCAGACCCACTTAGCAAAACTCTGTTTCAAAATTAAAAAAAAGTGTCACATATACTAAAATAAAATATAAAAAAGGGCTGGGGATGTAGCTCAATACACAAAAGCAGTAGGTTCAATCTCCAGTACCACCCCCAACACAAAACCTTTAAAAAAAATATATATAGCTCTACTTTTTTTTTTTTTTTGGTTTTTCTCCGGTACCAGAAATCAAACTCACGACCTTGCGCTTGTCAGGCAGGCGCTTTGCCGCTGAGCTAAATCCCCAGCTCCAGCTCTATAATTTTTTGTTTGTTTGTTTTTTGTTTTTTTCCGGTACCGGGAATCGAACTCACAATGTCGCGCTTGCCAGGCAGGCGCTGTGCCGCTGAGCTAAATCCCCAGCCCCAGCTCTACTAACGCTGCATCTGTTTCCCAGAATTATCAAAGTATGGCAACACTTTTTTAAAATAGAATTTCTATAGTTAAAAATAATTGATGACTTTCCCCAAAGATATAAATAAAGCCATCAGAATTTAACAGAACTTTGTAAAAAGTTTCAGTAGTAGTCTTCCTCAAAAGGCACACACAATATTTATCTTTACATAGTTGGATGTTGATTAACCACTTAGTGTATATGACACTAAGAAAAAGTCTGATTGTAAAACAGTGTAAACTAGAAAGAGACTTATAAGAGTACACTTACTAGTTGTAAAATGGTTGACTTTACCATTTTAATGGGATAACTCATAGCATATTACCAGAAGAAATGATTTTAGATGTAGAGAAAATGCTCAAGGCATTGTGCCAGTTTATCAGAATGAAAGTTCCAGCAACTGGAAACATGGTGTTTAAGTTACAGCACTTGTCAAATAGCAAGGCCACTTCATAATGCAACTATTTCAATTATGTATCACAAATTCTAAAATCTTATCACTCCTCCTGAGCTCTGTGAATTAGACAAGAAACTAAATTTTGACCTTTTATAGGTATGGCAGATGATGTTCAAATACAGCGCTAAGTATCCAGAGTATTTTCTTAACTCAAAGATTAGGCTACACAAGTTATCTTTAACTACCTCTTATAGTTTCCTTTTAAAAAGCAAATGCTTTTTAAATGCTTTTCATTTAGGAAGTAGCTTGAGTTTTTAATCTTTAAAATTTTACTAACAGGCAGTGTTAGTAACAGACAAAAAAAATACTGCAACAATTTTTCATTTCTCAATACCAAAGTTACATTAAGCAGCTTTAAGTGCCATCTTGAATATTCTACACTCAAGTTTTTACACAATCAAAAGTTTGGTATATGTTTTGAGAGGCTTGGCTCTCTGAAAGACAAAATAAGATAAAGCTAATGAATAGTAAAAAAATAAAAATAAAAATAAAAACAGTATTTTGCAGTCACATGGCTCTTTCCACCCTACACGCCCTGTGAGCTACTACGTCCCTGGGTTGACCACACTTCTTAAAATGACAGCACTGAAGGTCAAGCAAAGCCTAAACAATGGAATTGTTCTGCTTTGCAAGATAAGATGAGGTCTATGAAAAGGGGAATCAATATTATAAAGTAGACAGTCAAGGAAACAAAAATAACACCACTTATCTAAATGAAGGGAATTGCATTCAAACAGGAGAGCTTAAAAAGGTTAAGATCACTTAACTTTCAATGTTAACATTAATGGATATGATCTATATCAGAAAGAGAAAATATTGAAATATAGCATCAACAAAGTAGATCAGTAGACAGGTAAGGAAAAAACTAGAGACACTAACAATGTAAGACTTTATTTCCTTTAGAAAAACACATATACATATACCTCCTTGAAAAAATAGAACATTTATCCCTAACTACATTTAATGCATAAAAATGAGATCTGGAATAACTTCAATGGAACTATAAATATATATGGCTGCTGACCACAGATTCAAGAAGAAAAATATTAGGTTCTAAGAGAATAACCAAACAAAAACTAAATTATAATTGCCCTGCCATATTAAAATGTTCAGTGAGCTAATGAAATTCTAGAAGAGAAAATGGCATAAGATACTCTCTCTAGGAATGAACTTTTTAACTTTAAAACAATTCTTTGCCCAAGTGTGATGGTGTGGGCCTATAATCCTAGCACCTGGGGAGGCTGAAGCAAGGGGACTTCGACAAATTTGAGGCCAGAATGGGCTACACAGTCAGTTCAAGGCCAGCCTAAACTACAGTACATAAAAAAACCGTCTCAAAAAAAACCCTAAAAAGAACACTTCTTTGAAGATCTTCAGAAAATGAAAACACTGTCCCGTCATGAAGAATACAATATCTAAATGCTACAAAAGTAATACTGTAGAAATATTTGAAATACAGAAACAAAACGATGTTGGCAAGAGTTTACCACTGTCAAAAACAAGAGAAACACAAGTGTGAGAATTAAGGAAGTAATCCTTGTTACATAGCTTACTTGGCTGCAACCACAGAAAACATAAAACTGAGGAAAAGAATACCTACCAAACTGAATGTATTACTAAATGATATCTCAGAACCAACCTGAAGTCAAATGTCATACCATAAATGTAATTATACTAGAATGTTTGTAATATTTAAAATTAGTTGAACATGAAATAATGCAAAATAAACATCCTTTATTTTTTAATAATGCCCACATGTATCACTCAATCAACAGACTACTGAAAGAAAACAGTACAGTATTTCCACGCAAGAAAGGAGGTTAAAATAGTAGACAAGCGGAAATTGCCACTTTTGCTATCTAGGCTATACTATGTCCTTATACCATTATGTTCCCAACACATGACTGTTGTTCTTGCTGCCTGAAATGCCTTGTACCAACTCTTCGCCAGTCTTAATTAACACAAACTATTCTAACAGCATTTATTATTAAAATTAAATATTAACATGTAAGTCTGGCTTACACACATTCTATTACCCTATTAACAGGTATTGGAAATAATAAATGCTCAAGTTCTTATGTATTCTGTCTTCTGCCAATTTCTAGCCTTGAGGAAAGTGTATTATGGTAGAAGATTCACAAAGATGCAATGGAGGAAAGCAAGAGGATCTTCATGCTGAGGCAACCCCTAAGGGTACAGAATTTAAACACAGTGCTACTGTGCCATCACCAGTGGTGCTTTTGGTTGGTTTATTTGGTTTATAACCCTGGAAGATAAAATTACTGGAAGCCTGAACTGGTTCAAGTAAGCAATAAAGTTAACTAGAACAGTTAAAATACACCAGCAGCTAGAACTCACTACCTATCTGCTCTACTCATTCATAGTATTGGACATGGAGGTATGTAGCTTGCAATCATGTAGTTCAGGGATGTTATATAGCAGGAAAACATAAAAAGACATGGCTAAGAGCTATTAGGTCAGCCCATCACTTACATATACAGTATCCTTTTCTTCAGCTCACAGATTGTAACTTAGACCTGAGTGGTCTCACTGTTTTATTTCCTTTTAAGATTAAACAATTTTTATCCCAAACTTAACAGATCTGAAGGAGGCTGATACAAGGCTTAGTATTCACTATAAAATAACTGTAAGCGGAAGGTGAGCACAAATTCCCAGCTAACTACCAATGCCTACCCCTAATCCCAGATACAACACAACTATGATACTCAACGAAGACTAAGGATATAATAACATTTTCTTAGCTATTATTACTAGGAGACTTTCATGTAGTCACTGAAATTTTCTAGATAAATTCTAAATGAGAATTTTCAATACTAAAGGTTGACAGTTACTGACTTCTAAATTCATAAAATACAATTAGTAAAACAGCTGATAAATTTCTTTCCCTCACAAAATAATTGAAGAAAATCACCCTTAAAAGTCTGAGCACAGCTACTTGTGGCTATTCTTGAGCTCACTTTGGCAGCACATATACTAATTTTGGCTCTTCTTTGTCTACAGCATAGTTCTGCTCCATAATGTTAAGTACATTATTGACCTTTATGACCCATACAAATCCTTCTAAGAATTTGTCAATTACCGCTGCTTCTAAGATAAAGATAGCACAGTAAAACATAACTGAATGATGTATTTTCACTGATATTTCAGTATTACTTTCCTGTCAGAAAGGAGATAAGTGGTTAATACCAAATGATTAGCCTCCAAGAGAAACCTGATTTACACCTTGCTAAAATCACTAGCAAGCTGCAGAGGCTTGCTGCATGCCACCTTTAGATGTCAAGAGCATGAGCTTCATGAATCATGACTAGACCACAGCTATCTGAGAGGAGTATTTCTGGCTCTGGTTTTATAGTCAAGTAAATGTTATTAATACCCTTAAAAAAAACCTCACCAGATTGAATGTGAAAACTACATTCTATTACCACAATGCCCCCTTTACAAGGAACCGTGAGTCTTGATTTACCTTTCCTTCCAAGTTCAGCTGCTGCATTTCTTGGTCACTATTTCCTATTCCAATGAATGCACATGGTTGAGACTCTTGCTCAGAACAACCATCTCGTTCCATTTGTTCTTTTTTTTTCTTCCATCCACTGCCCATAAGATACACACAAGGTGGAGGGCAAAAAAACCTGAAGGATAATGTGGGAAAAGACCCCCCAAACACAGTAATTAGATTCAAGACATTTCTTCTTCTTTACCATACGAAAACAAAATCATGCAGAAATGCACTAAATTGACTCCTTATGAAAAACTGTGGTGAAGGCTTCTATCATGGAAATAATCACGTCTATAGGATAGAAATCAACTTCCACATCTCTTTAGGTAAAATACTGGAGTTATACCTTCAGTTAAGAGTCTCTATGTTTAGAATAGAGAATTTCTCTTTAAATTCTTACATAGCTGAAAGATCTGCACTAGTTCAGAAGTGCAATGTACAAAACATGACACCACATACTATTTGATTACTAATTAAGGTGTACTCAAAGTAAGTTACTAATTAATGCTTTTATTCCTATGGGTATCACATTGAACTTTATTTGGTAATTAACCTGAAACAAAGCATTAAAAGGAATCCCTCAAAATTGACCATTGGCGGTGGAACTCAGCAAGGGCATGCTGTTTTGAGTACCTTTTCTCAATACCTGGTGCAGTGAAAATGACTGAGAAATACTTTGCTAAAAGAACAAAACACTATATTCTTTCAACTCAAGACTGCTAACAGGGGGCTGGGGATTTAGCTCAACGGCAAAGCGCCTGCCTGGCAAGCGCAAGGTCGTGAGTTCGGTTCCTGGTACCGGAGAAAAACCAAAAAAAAAAAAAAAAAAAAAAAAAAAAAAAAGACTGCTAACAGGTTTGTCTTGCCAGTGCCAAAAAACACCCTTACAAATTCTTCCCACATAGAATGACTTCCTTATAATATTCTGTCTAGCAATTAAAAAAAATACTTCAAAACCTAGCTCAAGCTCCATATTTTTCATAGTTCAGACCATAAATCCACTCCCTATGTTGGGTGTAATTCTCTTTTGCTCAATTATGCCTGATGTCTATGTCGTGTCTCTCAGCGGGGCTTGAAAACTCAAAATTCTTACAGTAGTCAAGTAAGTGATAGAAATGAATGACCCAGGTGTACAATAAAGAAGCAGGAATACCCTTTAACTACATAGAGACGCAGGTAGGTTCCTTCCTCTCTTAAAACAAACAGCACTCAGGAGGATTCCTACTTTTCATACAGTTGTGAATAAGGAAAAATGTTTCTTCTCTTAATCCTACATTAGAAAAACAAGCGCTTAAGTGCAATGATAACGAGCCCCTGGTGCACGGCTGTAAAACACAGGGGATGGCCTGATGTGTAACTACATACCCACTCACATCGATGAACCATGGATATATGGGCCTAGTAGTGGTCACATCATCTAACTGCTCAACAGACTTATGAAATAAAACTTTATGTGAAGTTCCAATTTTAAAATCTGGCAACTAATATATACCCTGGACTACAATGTGCAGAGTAAAAGAAAAACCACTGATGTGCATATAAACACCTGTGCACATGTGCATACACAGGCACCTGCGGGCTGGTTTTGGCCCTCTGGCTTTCCTGGTGGTTAGAGGTGTGGGCTTCTTATCTGGCTTCACCCCTAGTGCCTACTAAAGTATCTACAGAACTGATTCTAACTACATACACAGTGGCACCCTTCTTCAATCCTAACTGGACTACTTCATAAGCAATTTGCATCTAACTTAGGACAAGTGAGTTCAGTTTACTTAATATTGATTAATTCTCCAAATTATTTATTTATTACTTCTCAAGTGTGTACCACACACTGGGAATAGTAAAAATAAACCAAACCAAACCCACAAAACTCTTCATGGAACTTATATCCTAATAGCAAAGACACAACAATAACAGAAAAAGTCCAACAAGTAAAACAATGTGTTCACTTTATTAGCTGATAATAAGAACTAAGAGAAAATTTTAAAAATAAATAAAGCAGGCACAGAGTTCTCGAAAAGTGAACTGCTCGGCCATGGACAGCATGCTTAAAGAGGTAACTTTAAGTCACAACCTCAAGCCACATGAGTACCTAGGACCAGAGTGTTCTGACAGAAGATAGAGCAAGTGCAAAAGCTTTGTGGCAGGAATGACAATCAAAAGTAGAGAGATACATTACAGTGGAGGTAGAGAGAAAAAGAGATCAATAGGAGATGGAGTTGGAGGTAACAGGTACATAAACCAAGTGGGCTCTACAGATCAAAGAGAGCAAGGAGGGAAGCCTTTGTAGTCTTCTCCTATTTACTTAAAGCAACCGGGAATTAGAGAGGCTTTCATGCCTGCACACTCACAGCAGGGCCATGAATGGACATAATAAAGGTCTCGGCCAAGGTGGTGGGCCCAGCTCCAGTTCGCTCAAGTTTGGAGGGATTCCTGATTAGCTGGGCTGCTTTTGGAGCTGGTTCAGTTTAAGTCTACATCATGGATCTTTCTGGTTTCTAATGCTGAGAGCCACTCAATGCTTTACCCTGGCACAGGATCAAATACCTTGGCTGGCACATTCTCAGGAGGCTAGGAAGGCGTCAATTTTGGTAACGTGTGTCTTGTTAGTATTTTCTTGAACACTGACATTAAGACTCCTTAGTAAATTGGCATACTAGCTGTAAATTTGAAGAGTCATGCTTTAGTACTGTATAGTATACCAAATGTAGTAGTCAAATCTGTGAGTTATACCAAAATTAATTTTATTTCGTATCTGAAAATATAAAGAGAGCTGAAATAACACAAGAATTAGTGCTGTCTTTTGTAAGTACTGTGCCAAAATTCATGAAACTAACAGGCTATAAAATTAAGACAAGGAGTTAAAGAATCCTTTATTCAAAACATTGATTCCATCTTTTTTTTTTTTTTTTTTTTTTTTTGCCTTTTTGAGACAGGGTCTCGCTATGCAGTTCAGGCTGGCCTTGAGCTCACTTTGTAGCCCAGGCTGGTCTTGAACTCACAGAGATCCTCCTGCCTCAGCCTTCTGAGTGGTGGGATTATAGGCATGCACCACCATTCCCAGCCAAAGTTTTATCTTGAAAAGGCTTTCCAATTATGTAATAATGTAAAAAAAAAAAAAAAGACTTTTCAATAGCCTGTGAGCTAACTTGTTTAATATCAATCCTATAATTACCCAAGAAAGCTGTGATACAAGAAAACAGTAAATCCAACAGAATCTAAGGATTGAGATCATTTCTTTAAAGTGCTGGTGAAATCCTATCTTAAATATCCCAATATTGCTATTCCCTAAAAGACAGTAAATTAATCAAATTTTCATTTCCATAGACCTCCACAGTAACAGTCATCAAAAAAAATCCATATATACAAAAAAGGGAATCAGCCAAAAAAAAAATCAAAGGGAAATGGGATAAAAATAAAAGGTTACATAATTAAAGAAGAAAAATTCAAATATATCTCTATAAAGGTATGTGAAACTCATTTTTTAAAATCTGTATTGTTGGTCAATATTTACTAAGCAGTCAAAATTTGATAAGTAAGGGGGTTCTTACAGTTTAATCGCTGCTATAAAAAGATTACTATAACACTATGTTGCCCTTAGTTTTTCATGTTTCCCCATAGCTTAAAGCATTCTGCCACTTGGTGGCGATATGCACACATTTAGTATTTTACTCATTTCACAGTTCAATCAGTATTTTCAGAGTCGGATTCAGTAACTTTTTTTCTATAATCCTGACAAGAGATCTGGAAAACACCTTACAGATTCAAAGAAGGCTTTCTACTCAGCCCAACATATAAAATATGTGGTTAGATAAATCCAAAGTCATGTTATTTACATTTTCTGAGTACCTCTGACAAATCATTACTGATGATTATTCAGTTCAAAAGGGCCATATCTGAGAACTTTTTCACCAGTTACTCCAATTAACACAACTCTTCATATGACTTCAGAATCACAGTCTGTAGCTAAAGAGCTTCTCAAATGGCTTGAACAGCACCACTATTATTGCTAATTACTTACCCTGAGACAAAGCTGAATGTTAGTATGTCAATGGCATATTTATACTTCCTCAATAGAAAACAATCTTTTAAAAAGTTTTAACCTGGGAAGAACTTCTTTAACGAAAACTTCAAACTCACCACTAAAATAAATGGGATAACAGATGTGCTGTGCAAGTAAGTAGGTTGTTAGTGGGCACAAAAGCTGTTATCCAGAATAACTTAAATTTTCAAATGAGTATTTTTAGCATCATTCACTGCAGTTATTTTAATGCCACAGGGACCTGGCCAAAAGCACTGTGGTCATGTCCCCAAGTGACCTCAATCCGGAAGCCCTACACCTCTGCACAGAGACCGGAACCTGATGGGCAAGAGAACAAGCGGAGCTTTCTCTTGTCACTGCCTGCCTCGGCCGGCGAGTCAGGGCCTGACAGCTCTTGTTTGTCCTCAAAGAAGCCTCAGCAGAGCCTGCCAGTCATCAGAGGCCTGGCCTAGAATTTGTAGTCCCTCACTATTAACACTTTTTAAACATTAAGAAAATTCAATGGGTTTCCTCCTTTGTCATAAGGCAATAACAATACAATTAAGTATAAATATTGGAACGTAGTTATTCTGGCCTTTTATCTTTTTTCTTCATATTTTAGAGGCCAAAAGCATAAATTCTCAAGTGTCTGGATGGGGTTATGGACTGGCTATACCATACAAATAACAGAAAGAAATAGAAAATAAAGACTACTGCAACAGAAGAAGCTATAAAGGTTAACTCGATAAGGTCCTGCAGCTCTGTATTTGTTTGTATTTAACAGTGATTAACAAACAGGAACCTTAACTGGACTTTAATATTTTCCAAACAGATCCTTCCCTTTTATTTCATTGAGCCTTAGTAATCCATCATACTATTAAATGGCATAGTGACTTTTAAAAGTTCCTTTTGCATAGCACCTGGAACCTAACAGGTGATCAGAAATCAATTAATAAATGAATCCAACTGTAGAAAAATGCAACTTTAAAACTCCAGAGAAGGTAAAGGAGCACCAGTCACATTTGGAACCATATGATAAACATAATTCAGCTGGTGAATGAGATGATCCTAAATCAAGTTTACAAGACACTTATGTTTTTCAGGTATCTTTACTTCTCCTCAGGCCTTCCATAGCTAACCAATAGAAGGCTCTAACATTTAGAGCTATATGGACAGAGAATCCATGTGATCATATACCCCTCAGGAATTTAATTAGTAAGAAGGAAGAAGCAAATGGATATGGACGTATAATCTTTTTTTAAGTAGGGAAATACAATAAGAAATTTGGAATGAGTCTCAGGAATTTCAATCCTTGCTTCAATGATTCTAATGCCACCATGGTTAAAGTCTCTAGATTATTCTGAGGGTTAAAGTTTTTGGTAAAGCATTTCTCTGGCTTGTAACTATAGCTGATATAGAAACTACTGTAGGCCAGATATGGTGATGCACGCCTGTAATCCTAGCCCTCAGAGGCTGAGGCAAGAGGATCACTGTGAGTTCAAGGCTACCTGGGCTACAAAGTGAGTTCAAGGATAGCCTGAACTGCATAGTGAAACTCTGTCTCAAAAAGGCAAAAAAAAAAAAAAAAAAAGAAACTATTTTAATTTTAGATTCACTATGAGGGCCACAGCTGGTCTTTTAGATCTGTTTTTAAGGATGAGGGTACTGACTTTTGCTGTGTTTAGAAAATAAATAACCTGCTATATACATACACTAAATTTCATTATTTAAAAAAAAATACTCAATTTCCAGTATCAACTTCATGAAAAAATGGCAGCTTCCTTAATTTGGTTTTCTACGTCCCAGACTTCTTTTATTTAACTCTAAACCAGTGAACTAAATTTTATTAGTAAAGTAAAACAATCAGAAATTTTGTAAACCTGAATTACAACAGATTAAGAAATAACACTTAGAAAAGAACACTCTGAATTTTAAATACTGTTTGTATTTATTCATGCTCTTTGAGGACAAAAATTATCAATTAAATAGCTTCACCTTCTTTTCAGCTCAGATTTAGATGACTCCAGGAAAGAGAATTCTTAATTTTCTTCTAGCATGTAAATTAATTTAATTACATGCTTAGTTTCTCCATTCTTATGCATATGCTGAAAGTTTCCTTTTTGTTACAAACTCTTTAAAGATTCCAACCGCCAAACCTGCCTTTTAAGTCCTTCTCCAACTTGAGTTTGGTGCCTTTCTAGCCAATCCAAAAAACCTGTGGTCTTTCCACACATGCAGGCTATGAAATGCTTAACCGAAACTTGCCAAGCCAGTTGGGCACGGTGGCCACACACCTACAATTCCAGCACTCTGGGAGGCTGAGGCAGGAGAATCGTAAGCTGGCACCTAGCCTGGGCAGCTTAGTAAGACCCTGTCTCAAAATAAAAAATAAGAAGGGCTGGGCATGTAACTTAGTGTGAAGGCTCTGGATTCAATCCTAAGTACCAAGAAAAAAAGAAGAAACATTTAAAAAAGAAAAAAAAAAACAGGCCTTTAGAAGGACTCAAAATTCCAGGAACCAAGTGAAAAACCAGGGTGCATCTCAGTTGTAGATGTGAGTAGTAAGACTGAGGCCCTGGGTCACTCCCCAGCATCCTCCCCACCCAAAAAAAAAAAACCAAAAACAAAAAAACAGTAACAACAACAAAACACCAGCTGTACCATAAATAATTATTATTTTACGACTGAGGACGCAGCTCAGTAGTACAGCACTTACACAGCAGGCATGAGGCCTGCTCTAGGTTTGATGCTGGGTGCCACTGCAAAATAACAGAACAAAACAATCCAGCGAAAGCTGACTATTACACACACACTGCTGGACTTTATAAGATACTGTGAGAAATAATGTAAAGATCACTGTTATAATTTAATTTTGGCCAATGAGCTTTATAGATATTATCTGTAGCACCTACATTCAAGGGGTATGAAAATATAGATGCAGTTTCTTTTTTAAAAAAAACAGGGTCTTTCTATGGTGCTCAGGCTGGTCCAGAACTCTTGGGCTCAAGGGATCCATCTGCCTTAGCCTTCTGAATAGGAACCCTTCAGGGGGTTGCATTTCCTAACAACCAGAACAGATTCAGGGCCTATAGGGGGTTGTGGGAAAGGATAAGGAGCCCTTCTCTTTATAGTAGCTCCAGGGATCAATTCTTGAGTTCAATTTAGGATTAGCGTTTGTTTAGCCTTTTCCTTTTTATAATGCTACCTTGGCAGTTGCAACAGATTATTAAAAAAAAAAAAAAAAACTGCATTTTCTACCAAAATTAAAGCGTTTTGTTTTGTTTTCTGAGGTAGGGTCTCACTCTGTAGCCCAGCCTGGGTTGGAACTTGAGCTCCTCCTGCCTCAGCCTTTTCAGTGCTGGGATCGCAGGTGTGCACATCAGTACTGGGCAGGAAAACATCTTCGTGAATGAAGTAATGCATGGCTGAAATACTTGGGAAAAAAGCCCTAACAAAAAACTGTGCATCATTTCATTTTGTAAAATCAGGGATTTAGCGAGATTATCTTTGCTAAATTCTCCTTCTGGACTGAGTAAGGCCAAAAGTAACTTTGTTTCTCTCCTTTAAGAGGTAAGTCCCCTTCTTTTTTTTCATTTTGTATGAGGCAAATTAACTGGATAACAGAAATGCTCAAACATGAATACTAACACATTATTTGCAAATTCATGTGACAACTACAACTATCCACTATAACAAAACCAGTAATCTTACCTTTTTTCATTTCCATATGACTTCTGTGCAACTTTTGCATGAAGAATAAGTACTGTTTGATCCCCTCGCTCTTTTAAATAATTTCGCATAGCTTCCCTAAAATCAAGTATAAATATTACAATTATAGGGGTGACATTTTTTATGAAACTTTTTTTCATACTCTGTAACATAAGGAATGCTTACAGATATTTTTAAATGCAAAAACTGAAAGCACAAAAACAATATAGGAAAACAAACCCATGAATTCAGTTTAAAGCGCAGTACACAATGGATAATAAATACTCCTTTATCTTCAACATTGTATTTTGTTCTTTAAATGAAAAGATGTACTCTTTAGAATCTATCATGTCACTCAAACCACAATTACACTTCTAAAATAACTTCAATCAACACTTACATTGCTAATGTGGCTTTAATATTCCTTCATCCAACTATTTGAATCAGTACTTTTCACTGAATACAAAAGCCATAGTAGAACACAAATTATCCCAATCTGTTATTAACTGACCCTAAAATGACAATCTTACATAAGGACTAAGAAAGGCCTATCATTTATATACAAACATATAGTTATCTGAAAGATTTTAACTATATGCACAAAATTTAATAAAGCCTAACTGAAATTAGTGAACAAATGGATTTAACTTTGAAAAAATATTAAGTCTTTCAAGTATAAGCTACTCTAATACTTACTAAACAAATATTCTATAAAGTATCCAATATCACAAATATATTTATTCATTCAATTATTTGGCTAAGTAATATTATACAGTATAAGTAACGCAAACTCAGCACAGATCAAAACTATAACAAATCTGAATTAGCAGAAATTCAATTCTTCAGATGTTTTTACATATCACAAAATTTAAAAGATGCTTCAAAGATAATAATCAAGAAATTGTTTTATTAAATTTAAATATCCTGTTTGTATTATAATAACAAATATAAAATGTAAGGGGTCAGCCATATAAAATAGCACTAAGTTATTAAACGTGGGAATTCTCCATCTGTATCCCCTACGCAATGAAGGGCCTCCCAGGCAATCATTCACCCAGCCCTGATATGGAAACTGGAGATAACACCACCTATCTCACACATGTAACCTGTAGGTATTAATGAGACAACCTAGGTGACAGCATTTATATTTACTAACTGAAAAATCTGCTAGTTGCAAGACATGGCAAGTAATACCAGGATACAAGCCAAGTGAGAACTAAACTCTGCTCTGAAAGACAAACTCAAGGTCCAAATAGTAATGAAATACAAGGATCCACAAGTGTACAAAAAGCACCAAAATAAGGGAACACCACCGTAAAGTATATTCTAAAGGACTTTGTGCTGGGAAGAGTTTGTTCAGCAGGAAATAGGAGCAGGAGAGAATAAGGCATTCCAGGACTTGAGAATAGTATGTGTGGTCAAGGCAAAATGAACTCCACGCACTGGGTAAGTGAGCTCTCAGCCAAGGAGTAAGGTAGTCACAACCACAGCAGCTAATGCTTCTTGAGTATTTACTATGTGCCAGCTCCTGAACTAAGCCCTTTAAATGCTGTATTTAATTTAACCTCATAATCCAAAAAGTATAGTTAATTCCACTTTGACTGACTTGCCCAAGGTCCTGTGATGAACAAGTGGTGGTCAGCAATTGAAATAAGCTCTGCAAGATTCTAAAGAGAACTACAGCCAAGACTAAGGCTGACAAGATGGGTACAGTCAAACTGTGAAAGGCCTTCAAAATTGGACGTTTGTAAACTGAAAATGCTAAGTATAGAAGTTTAAGCTAATTTAATTATCACTCCATGAGATGGTGATAAAAATGGTAGGTAAGGGCTGAGGATATAGCTCAGCAGCACAAGTGCCTACCTGGAGAGCACAAGGTCCTGAGTTCAATTCCTGATATCAAAAGAAAAACAAAAAGGTAAGTAATAAAATGTTAACATATTGGAGGAAAACTTAGAACATTTACTAAAGAAGAAAAAAAAAAGAGAGAGAAAGAAAAATATTCACCCCTTAGTGAACTTGGACCAGATCATCATTCAATTCTTTCTCAACCCATCACAGAAAAACAAGCTATTGAAGCTGGATTTTCAATCTAACCCGGAGACTGAAGTTAGATTGAATGAGAAGTCTTGAGAGTTTTTTAAACAAATAATTTCTTTTTCAGTTAGCTACTCCTAGAGAAAGTCCTAGAAAGCATACAGACAAGCACACATGTAGAAAGGCTGTCACACTAAAGAATAACAGAAGACAGTAGTGAGAGAAAACTGGAAAAACTTACACACTATTTTGTTTTGGGAGAAGCAGCTGTGTTAACACGCTCTGTTGACAAATGTCTACTCTGAACTGCCCCTGATAGCTCTGCTTCAGAAATATACACAGGGCTGCTGGAAACACCCACTGACAGAGTTCAAGAAAAGACCCTAGGTGCAAAAGTGGGGTTCACTGGTGCCAAGTGAAGCCATGAAGGTGAATGGAATCTCCCAGAAGGAAATTGTAGTGATAGAAAAGTCAAGAAGGAATGTATAAAAGGAAATGGAGAAATGGTTACAGGCTGAGGTTTTCGGCATACATGAGGCCCTAAGTTTGATCTCCAGCCCTCCAAGAAAGAGGATAGGATTGACAGGAGGTAGAACTATGACTGGTGCCCTTGCATGCAGCAAAGCCTAATGGATGCTAGCCAGGGAAGGACATAAGCAGAAGATGAAAGTCTAAAAGCATCTATTTTATTTATGGGTAATACAAAAGGAATAAGTATTTTGAAATATCCAAAAGGGAATGGAACAAGAAGCTGATAATGGACAAATAAAATGAAGATGTGTATTAAAGGACCAGCTGATGCCGGAGTACAAAAGTAATGGTGCAATTCCCACTAATACTCTAAGGACACAAACAGGGAAAGTATGTTCTCTAACCTGCTGGGTCCTGGACAGGATGACTGATAAACGATGGGAGATACTACTAAGTTATGTGATGATCAAAGAGTTCAAGGTGTATAAAAAAACAAAAGCAAAGCCAGGAGAAAGTCAGTAACACCCTGACAAAATCCCTGGCATAAAACTTGAAAGGCTGTCACACGGATAATGGAAAGTAGGAGAGAAAAACGAAACACCAAACAAAAAACCTCTCAAGCCATAAATATGTTTCTCAAAGTAAACTCTATTTGCATTTATAGTCTCTATTATATCATTCAGCAACCACAGTACTTGATTGTATGTTTATCAGATTTCATATTTACCTTTCTTATCTTCCCAAAGAGACTACAAAGTCTTTAAGGGTAGAACTATATAATACCCGAGGCAGTCAGAAATCCTTTCTACAAAGAATATATTAATTATAATCATTAAGAGAGCTAAAACCAAGCAATCATTCTGTGCCAGTACCATTCTAAACATGTATTAACATAACCAACAACCCTGAGCGTGATACAGTACTACAAAGCAGATTTCAGAAACAGGGAGAGATTAAATAACTTTGCTAAGTCTGGCTCTTGAGGACAAAATTATATTATCCAAAGTTTTGTAATGGTGAAGAGCACAGCTTTGGTATGCAACAGAAAGGAGCCTAAACCTTGTTAATTATTAAACCTTGAGTTTTTACCTCTGTAAAATAAAGTCAGTTACTGTGGAAAAAAAATGAAAATGTTAGCCCCACACCCACTGATACACAGCAAGTGTCAGTAGACTTTACCTATTACTTTTATTTCCTTAGAAAGGTACTTTCATCTCTTAATACAGTGAGGTGCAGGGAACCAGGAGTTCCACAAAAGGACCTGGGTGTGAATGATCAGGCATCTTATCCAACTTGCAAAGCACAAGTTCTACCAAGTCCACCAAGTGAGCAGCATGCCTCGCCCTCTTCCTTGTGAAGATTCACTGAGCACCTGCTACAGTAGTAGTTTCCAGTGCTGGAAATGACTCTTAGCAGTTAGGGTCATTTCAGGAAGTTTATGATGAATTCAGGGCAAGAGCTCTGATTTTCCTTTTGTCTTCCCAGACCATACTTAGAATATAAACTCCTGACCAAGTAATTAGACCCTCAAGGTAATAATCATTAGTAACAGTTGTCTGTGGCAGGAATTTGCCAAATAGCTTCTTTCAATATGAAAAATAAAATTTGTTTTATTAATGGAATATTAAACATTAAGAATTACGTTGTCTGGTAATAATCGCTTGGTAAATGACTTTCTGCACCTTAAGTAGTCATTAAAAATAGATGGTATACTTTAAAGAAACATGACAATAAATCCTATGGAGCAACAGCCCGAAGTATTTTGGATACTCTTCATCCAAATATAATAGCGTTTCCATTTCAGCACTGTTAACACCCTGGGCAAAATAACTCTTAGCTGTGGGAGAATATCCAGGATACTGTAAGATGTCTAGCAGCATCTCTACCTTTTACCCAGCAGCTTTCACTCTTCCTCAAATTGTGCCAGTCAAAAATGTCTCCTGAGACCAGAGCATATCTGTAGTCCCAGAACTTGGGAGGCTGACGCATGAGGATCGCTACAAGTTCGAGGCCAGCCTGGACTACATAGCAAGCTACAGGCCAGCCTGAACAACACAGGCAGATCCAGTCTGAAAAAGCCAAAAGAAAGAATGTCTCCGATACTGCAAATGCTGGGGCAGACAGCAGAGTGGGGTGGCACTACATGGGTTGAAAACTGAAAGTATTCCAAATGATAAGGTGCCACAATCATCTAACATCTTTTCTTAAAAAATGGCAGAAATTGTCCTTTTTGGACAAACATAAGGCAGGTGCTGGATAATCCTTACCAGGACAATTGCAACAGCCCCCATTTAACTACAGTTTCACTTTCTGTGGCTTCGGTATCTACCATCAACTGAGGTCTCAAAATGTTACTACTTGTCTTGATTCTTTCAACAGATAGAACATCTACGTGACTTTCACTATAATAAATTGCTGTAACTGCTCCAGTTTATTAACTAATGTTGCTAATCTCTTACTGTGCCTGCTTTTTTTTTTTTTTTTTTTTTTTTTTTTTTATGTAGAGGAAAAAAGCATAGCATACATAAGGTTCGGTACTTTTTTTGGTTTTTCTCCGGTACCGGGAACCGAACTCACGACCTTGCGCTTGC